CTTCATTATCTCTGATCCTGATACCACGGATCTTCTCCAGGATCCGTCAAGTGATGACATCATCACTCCAGTCCCATCGAGATCTTCACACAAACTAACTCAAACTCAGGGAGAAGGCGATAAGGACAGTTTATCCCACCACAACGGCGTTTCCCGTCAAATATCCAATGAATCGTTTTCAAAGAAACGTCCCAAAGGTCAAATAGGAGAAACTCGTTAAGAAAGCAGCGTGTCGGAACGATGACGATTCACTGAATCCATCAAAGATCCTTAAACTATCAAGCCACTATCAAGGGAGCCGTTTAAAAACCGAGAAGTACCCCCCGGAATCCCCCCTTTATCCGACAGGCTAGTTTAGCCAAAGTTTTACCAACGACTCGGACTCGTCTGACTCGATAAGGCTTTGTTTGTTTTGTTTAGTTTGTTTTCGTTAAATCAGCTGCTTACTTGTAGAAGCTTTTCCTGTCGCCGCCGTTCCCGGAGTCATTGTTGCAGTTGGGAACCGAGCAATATTTCGGCATCTCCGGGGGCGGAAGTGGCGGCCGCGGGGCTCCGGGGAGAGTGCGTCCGTACCGGGCTCCGAACAAGGTGAAAGCAAAGTCCTCCCCTCCCAAACCGCCTGCTCAGACTCGTGCCGTGTGTTGTCACAACGCGGCGCGTAGTTGACGACTGCCCATCAGCTGTTGGGAGCTGTGACGCAATAGGGGCGCGACTGTCAAACAACCCGGAAATGGACGGACGCTCTGATTGGTCGACGCAGCGGACGCTAGGCAACGTGGTCTCAAACGCGGAAAACAACGTCAGGGTTCGCAAACATGACTCGCCTAATGCTATTTGTCGCTGAGTTTTGTGTTTAAAAATGTGAACGCACTGAAATAAAGCTTATTTTGTACTTTAATAAGGAAATATAACTTTATTTCTTAACTTTACTTCGTTAATCAATCCTAAGGCTGACAAAACGAGCTTTGTGCTTCGTTTATCCCAAAATCCCGTTCATGTCAAAGCAAAATGCGCTGATTTTCCTCTAATTCCACCAAAAAGGGAAACATGAAATATTTTTTGAACTACTCACATCCTTTTCATTTTTTTCTGAGGCAGCTTTAACAAAGAGAAGCGATCTTAAATAAAATAGTTTGCAGCATGTGTGCTTCAGTGTCCAAGCAAATAATCCAAGTCTGTAAATAATCAAATTTACTGAAAGGCAAATTATGCCTTTTGTATTGTATGGTATTTAAACAATTATCTAATTATATACACCTGTGCAAGTATCTGTAATAGAGCATTTCTATTTTGTATGTAAAACTAAGTGTAATGCTACAGAGGCCTTGGATATGCATCTCCTAAGATGAATATAAATGAGTGACATTAGCTTTTAAGAATATATATGGATGTAGAAAATAAAAATACTTTGAAAGTTGGGCCCAGATGGATTTGTAGGATGTGCCAATGAGGTTCTTAGAACCAGAAATAAAAATCAGTTATCAAACCAGTCTCTAAATCTCCATCTTTCAGTAAAAAATATATGTAGATGCATATTAATGTCGTAAAATGCTCTCAACCACACACTTTCCAGTTTAAGTCAGACAACTAAATGCATCAAAGCCTACTAAAGTCTGCTTCTCAGAAACGTAGGAGAGATTTTGACAGATTGTGTACTGAATCTGAGGTCTGAAACCAGACTGAGCTGTAAATTCTTTAAGTCACAGCTTTCGAACAAACCTTGAAAATAATCTAGACCTCTGAATCATCTCTAATTATCGTTGTGACTAATAATATCTTTAGATGGAGGCACCACACAAACACACCAGCTTGTTTCTAAAATCACTGGACTGGCTTTTTTTTTTTTTTTATTCAATAACTTTCTCCAAACATTACACAGAATCTTTAAATGATACAGTATATATATATACATACACGTCAGTGTATTTCTTTGTCTAAAAAGTCGAGGGGCCGATTCAGCTGTGCGTATCGAGACAGGATTGTTTT